CCTCTCATTTCTCTCCTCAGATGTTTAAAACAAGAAAACAGACTAGCAAAAGCAGAAACATAACTTTGTTATCCTGAATTTTCCCCCGTCACCCATACTGTTATTCGCAAGGTAAAGTTGTTTTGTTTTTTAAAGTTTATTGTTCCTATGGATATCTAGAAAACAGCACCTCACCTGGTTTGAGAATATAGAAAAAAAAGAACCGAAGAAAACAGATCATTAAAAAAATCTTAGAGAACAAGATGATCACTTATACTTGCAAGTAAGATAATTAATGGAGTACAGGAATAGTACCAGGTTAGTACAGTTTTATTCCGAAGGTCCCTTTTTCGCGGTCGCTTACCGTCACTCAGCAAACACCGGGACATTTGTCAGTAACATGAGTTACGTCATCAGTCAGTTTATGATTCTTATCTCCACGACGTCCGGATTTGCTTCTGTGGACCTTTCTGGACAGGTCAGTTAAGATCGTCATAAATTCACAAATAGGTGAAAGAAGCTAAAACAGCACGTCCTAGATATGGATGGCTACTGTCTCTATAAAATTTCATTAATGATTAATAGTCCCTGAAGATCCGTGAACAGCCTTGTATTTATCAATATGTAGGCCTGTAATATGTGTAAGCAGAGAGCATAACTTCAGCACTTTTCTTCAATCACCCAATTCAATGGCGTTGGGTTTCTTGATATTACTGTTTTTAAAATAAAGACGGTACATATGGGAGCATTTAGCAATACAATTTTTATTCTGTTTCGTCATTTCCTCATTTTTATATTGAAAAACAACGAACGCAAATGTTACACGTCTACTTTGGGCGCTATCTTTTTCTATAATTTTCTTACAACTTCATAAAAATGATTTAGGAGCTTGTGGAATTCCGCTGAGGATAATAATATTGTGTAGATGTGCAACAAGCATACATGCATAAAAGGAAGACACAGAGCCATAGATTTGGATAATATGTTGTTCTTGTTTCTGCTTTTGCGTTATATCATATTGAAGGTCATAGAGCCATTGGTGCCAAATTGGTTCGGTAGTATTGAGTTGTTGAACTGTTTTCGGAATTTTAAAAATTAAATTAAATTAATTAATGTATTTATTTGTTAATTT